ATGGAGTGCCCTAGCATGTCTTAATCTTGCTCTACTTTTGCTATAAAATGTTCCTAGCAGATTGTTTACATGTTAATCAATTTTGACATGGTTGTTGTAGTTGATCCATGCATGATATGATCTTGCACTTGCCATGGTTAGCTTCATGAACATGTCATATTGATGTAGGCATGCTTGTTTTGTCATGAAATGCCTTGTGAAGAGTGATTTGAGCTCGCAAAGATGCCTTCATAATGCTGTTTATGCCATGCTTAGTTTTCTGCTAAGTCTGAATCTGTTAATAAAAACTTGCTATGTTCACATGGGTTCCATCATATCTTCTGTGCCTTTTTGGCTCATGATCAGTAAGGGACTTTTGATATATGTATTTAGTAGATTCATGTCATGCCTTGTATTGCTATGATATGTTCCTGTAGCATGTTATTAGCTTGCTCTAAACATTGCTTCCTGATGTTAATTTCTGGCATGTTAGTATTTTCACCAAGTCTCTGATGCTGATATCGTTTGCACTTTTACCATGCTTGTTTGAACCTGTTTTAGTGTGATTTAGCCGTAGCTCAGTGTTCATTTTTTGTCAAGTATCTTGAGTAGATCACTGTCATGTGCTTTGTTGCTATGTTGGAGTGCAGTAGCTTAGTTTCTTGTTGCATTTTAGATGGCATCGTGGTGTTAATCGCAGAATCGTGTCATTCTTGTTTTGCTTGCCATTTGCAAACCGTGCATCCGATTCCGGTGATCTTTATATCAATTTCGACCGAAATCATCTTATCTTTTCAGCGGCACACTTGTTTTACCAAGTTGATGCCTTAATCAATCTTTCCCTTCCGGAGCCTGCATATGCATTGCATATCACATCTCGCATAATATGCCATGTTTTGCATCATGTTGATTGTGCATTGCACCGTGGTTGATTGTTGTTCCTTTGCTTGTGTTCTTGCTTTGGGTAGAGCCGGGAGACGAGTACGTGATCGAGGAACCTGTTGAGTACGCTTACGAGGATCAAGCTTTCGTCAACTCTGAGAACTTTGTAGGCAAGATGACCATACCCTCGAAATCACTTCTTATTCAGTACATGGGATGTGTAAAGATTACCCCTCTTGCGACATGCCTACCATGCGGTTATGCCTCTAAGTCGTGCCCCGACACGTGAGAGATATAGCCGCATCGTAGGTGTGACACCCCGATAGCGCCAAACAGCTAGGCAGGCACAAAGAGGATCATGCAGGCGACGCTAGAGAAAATCTTCCGACAACTCACATCCCTACTCATAAACACAAACACACAATACGGTACATGACGAATCTACGCAAAAGACACAAGACGTGAGGCCAACTCCACCGCGCGACCCTATCCTGTCCACCCCTGTCCGTTTGGGGTAAAAGGGACAAACGAGACGGCCCAGCGCGCGGGGAGCAAACGGACAAATGTCCGGATTCCGTCCGCTTTCGACCCATCCCCGGCCCAAACTTGCGCTCGGTTTGGGGTGAAACGGACACGGGCGGACGAATCTTGTGCCCTCCTCGTCCGCGCAGTGTCCTCTGCATGTGAGGCCTGACCCACCTGTCATCCTCTCTCTCCTCTGGCCCACCATGCCCACCCACCACCTCTCTTCACCTTTTTTCCTCTCTCTCCTCTGCTCCACGCACACTACCATGCCGATGCATGCGGGAGCGGGCGGGCACATGGGCGCGCACGGGGGAGCAGGGCGGGGGAGCAGGCAGGCGCACGGGGCGGGGCGCGGCCGAGCTCGAAGCGGGAGGAGCGGGGCGGGCGGCGCGGGCGCGCGCGCGGCGGCGAGG